TGTGGTGGATCTATGTGTGTGTGTGTGTGTGGCGGTCCTTGTGGTGGAACTGTTGTGGCAATGGTTGTGTGGAGTTGTGGCAGGGTCGACGGCAGTGGTGATGTTTTTCTTGGTGTGGTGGTGAGGGCGGCAATGGGATGGTTGTTTTTTGTTATTATTATGGCAGTGATTGTGGTGGTGTTGTGATGGGGTGACGATGGTGGAGCTGTTCAGGCGGCGATGGTGGTGGTTTAGGTTGTGGTAGTTGGTGGTGTTATTGTTGGTGGGTGTTGTAGGGATTAGGGTCGACGGCGAATGAGACGAAGTATCTGTGACCAACTATTTGGTCGTTCTGTGACCTATGACAAAGTATTGTTGGTGTATTGGGATTGGGGGGCAGGTGCGATTGATGGGTCGAAGTGTCCGTGACCATCTATTTGGTCGATCTGTGACCCGTGATCCGTGACCTCGAAATAATCCGTAACTTACAAAATTTTTGATCTGTGACTGATAAAAAAATTGTGACCTAAAAAATTTTAGATCTGTAACTTCGAAATAATCTGTGACCTACAAAATTTTTTATTTGTAACCGGAGAACAGTTGTTGGAGTGCTCGCCGATCACAGGAATAGTCACCGGAAAGTAAGGTGGGATGGGATGGGATGGGTGGGGTGGTGTGGTGTGGTGTAATTATATTATATTACAGAATTTACGGTTAAATATTTAATTTAATATAATAATTGTGAAATATAATTAATTAATTCATGAAGAACCTGATTTTTGTAATTCTAAACCTTGGAGTCTGATTTTTATTTTGGGATAGATAAAGCTTGAATTGTGAATTTTTCCCTATGGAAAAACGATGGAGGTTTTGAACCCAAAAATTCATTATAATTAATTAATTCATGAAAAACATGATTTTTGAAAGAAAAATCCTAGAAGTACACAAAAGTATACATAAGGGTGTCCATAATGGACACCCGACGCCTTCCCATTGGATGGAGTGTTAGTGTGTTAGTGGGTCCGGCACTTCCTCCAATGGGAGGGAGCCAGGTGTCCATTATGAACACCCTTATGTACACCGTTGTGTACCTGTAGCACATCTGTTTTTGAAATTCTAAACTTTGGAGTCTGATTTTTTATTTTGGGATAGATAAAGCCTGAGTTGTGAATTTTTCCTATAATATTAGGGGAAATTAGGCCCAGTACGGCCAAAAAGCAACAAAATTGAATAATACGTTTTTACATAAATTAAACAATTTAAAACGTAATTAATACTTGTAAAAGTCCCAAAACCACAGAGTTTTCCACGGGATTCGGCTTTAAGATACTTGTAAATCCTCTCCATAACTTCTCTACCCTTAGCACTGTTCTGTTGGAATTTGTCCATACATCTCTGCTCTATCTTCTCTGCCATTGATGCAAGAGTTGACAATGGCCTTATCCGTATGCTCGTTTCCTGCTTGCAAATGGTCCAGTTAATTGGGTTCGCAAGGAGGGGTTCATATATGATCTTCTCTTCCACTTCAATGAATTGACAAACGCTAAACAATTGTCAAAATAAGTAGAAGGCAATCACAAATCTCTGTTTTTTCTTGGGATTTGAGGTTAAGTGTTGAACTTTTGGTCTGCAAAATTTTATAGAAGGGAAAATTGCCAGTATTGAACAATAAATGTGAGTAAATGCAAAGAAAATGCTCTTTGATGGAAACGAATAGTTAAATTTACAAGGTGATAAATGCTAGTATTGCTTTTTTTTTTTGGATAATTGGCACAAAACGTCCTTACCTTTGCATGATTGTGTGCAAAACGTCCATACCTTTAGTTTTTTGGCGCAGAACGTCCCTACCTTTCACATTTTTGGTGCAAAACGTCCTTTTCGTCTCTTTTTGATCATTTTACCCTTCTATTAAAATAAAACAAATACAAAAGAAAAGAAAAATAAAGAATGAATTGCAGAAGAGGTCCCAAACTTTTTCATTTTTTGTGCACTTTACCCTAATCTTTAATGTGTGCCAACGGAGGTCCAACGGCGACGACCACCACCACCTCAAGAACAATCACTAAGGCAACTCTCAATCTCTGGGTTTGGTTCCATGATTGATCTGTGCAATTTTAACTCCTATCTGTGCAATTTCAAAAAATTTCAATAGCAAAGAAAAACCAAACAAAATCAACTCTCAAGCTTTTCCCAGTCATCAATGGCAATTCTGAAAATCCTGAATCCAGCAATCTGGGCACCGACTACAAATCTAGCAACCCATAAATCCAAGTATCGGCAGCAAATCCAGCAATCCAGCAAACCCCAAAAATTTTCGACAGCAAAGAAAAACCAAACAAAATTGCGGACTGCTGCCATTGTTGCCGGCTTGATTCAGGTACCGAAATCCGCATCTGCACTCTCATTAGCTCCCCTATAGTCATTGGCTTCTTAATTTTTCTGGTTATTACATTGAAGAAGAGTGTTCGCTGATTTTAAAACTTTCCAAATTCGTTACTTTTGGGTTCAACAGTGTGCTGGAGCTTGCAGTGGGGTTGTGGGTTGTTTGTGGTGTTGATGGTGGTGGTTGTGGTGTGGTGGTGGGGATTGCAGCGCCAACACGGTGGAAAGTGGGGGTGGATTTCAGATTGGGGCGATGATTTTGCCGAGATGTTTTTCCGCTTCTTCCCGATGTTTTTCCGAGAGGACGAAGGTGGGGGTGGGGAAGATGATTAGCCGAAAATGATTGAGGGAAATGATGAATCAGTGGGATGTATCCCGGCGATTGTCTGCCGATCAAGTCCGAAGAAGATGAAGGTGGGGGTGGGGAAGAAGAAGGTGGGTGGGGTGTTTTTTCAATTTAATTATTATTTTAATTGTTAGGGTAAAGTGCACAAAAAATGAAAAGATTTGGGACCTCTGCTGCAATTATCCCTAATTATAATTCATTCTTTATTTTTCTTTTCTTTTCTTTTGTATTTGTTTTATTTTAATAGAAGGGTAAAATGATCAAAAAGAGACGAAAAGGACATTCTGCACCAAAAATGTGAAAGGTAGGGACGTTCTGCGCCAAAAAACGAAAGGTATGGACATTTTGCACACAACCATGCAAAGGTAGGGACGTTTTGCGCCAATTACCCTTAATAAATTTCAAACTTAAAAATGCATAAAAAAATATTTTGAAATTTCCCTATTTTTAATGAGATTCTTATGGAATTTATGGAAATCTATTTCACCATCCAAAGTGTTGAGAATGTTCAAGTTTGTCCCAAAACTTCTCCAAAAATATGTTGGAAGTGGGCAAGTAATAATACCATCAAGAATTAACTTGGGTAGAATAACGTCGTGAAAAAATGAATGCGATCAAATGTTAATGGTCGAGGCAAGAGTTCGACTCTTTCTCCTTAAGGCAATAAAGCCCCGTACTGGTGCTGACGGTATTCCGGCACTTGTCTCCCAACATACAACGACCTCGACTTGTAATAATCACACTACAAATTACAAGACCCGACGAACCTACTCACGTCTCTGATCTCTTTAAAAGTTGGAAGACTAAAATGAACGAAAATTATTTTTCGAGACTGGAATGCAAAATATGAATAATACAGGGACGAAGGAATAATATCGAAAGAGGAATTAAATCAGAATTAATTTTGAAGTGAATGAAACCGAATGTATGGTGGCTTATTTATAGAAGTTAAAAAGTTGTGTCCAAAAGACACAACAGCCGAAAAGTTGTGTCTTCAACAAACACAACCCGTTGGGACCAGCTCAACCGTCAACCGCCAACCGCCCTTCTAGAAGAATCCACGTGTCACACACAGAAAATTCGAGAGGAAAAAATAATCATTTATTATTATAATAATAAAATAATATAAATCAAATATTATTTTACTAAAAAATATTTATGAGCTTGGCTCAAGTCCAAATCCAAGTCCAATCCCGTGACCCGTGCCCGTGCAGTGCACGTCGAGCCGGCCAGTCGGTCGGACGGTGGCGGCAGAGCGCGCGTGTAGGGTTTTGGCCCAACCTACTAGCATGTATGTTTTTTCCCCTTCAAAAACTATTGTTGTCCCTTGGGGCCCAAACCCAAGTCTCAAACTTGAGCAATATAAAGTAGTTTATATTTTTCTAGCTTTCCTATGTGAGATTGACACTTTTCCCATTTCCCACCAATTTATTTCGACTTCAAATGGTCACCTTTTGGCCTTAATTTCTCATTCACCCTAAATTAGTTTTGAGAGAATAAATACATAACATTAATCTACTCATGGAGTAGAACACGCTCGGCCAAAGAAATATTTTATCCAACTAACGGGACCCACTAAAATAATTGATCAAAAGTTGGTCAAACCAACAAGAGCTGGACTCAGATGAATACTTCATTGATTTGAAAACGTTGAAAGTGGCTTGCTCATCCTCCGTCTCAAAATTAATTGCCCTTTGTGTACATCACTCAAAGCTTTTCCCGTAGCAAGGAATGACCTGCCCAAAATGATTGGAATATCATTATTTGCACAGGATGATTTCAAATGAAAGAACAAACATAAAACTAGCAATGAGTAATAAGATTGCATAAACATTACATCATTAATTATTTAATTAACCAAAAAAATTACATTTTTAATAATAACAAATTAATTCTTAAACAAAACTATAAGCAAACGTGCATTGCACGTTGCTTACACCTAGTATATATATGTGTGTGTGTGTGTTTGAAAAATGTGTTAGGGTTCTCTAAGTGGGCTGACTGGACCCAAAGCCTTTAAAATCAAATAGGATGGAATAATTTGATGAGGAAATTACATGGTTCTAGGTCTTTAAAGATTGAAATTCAAAAATCAGGAACCGAATTTTATTATTCAAAAATCAGGTGTTATATAAACCCTAACCCTGATTTTTTTTTCTCTCTCAACTCCCTCTCCTCCATCTCTCTCTCGCATTCCTCTCCCCTATCTCCAAAATCTACCGCCGTCGAACTCTCCCCAAATCTATTCTAACCCTAAATCGAGAATCCCCAAGGTGGTGGCGGCGTACAGGCGATGGTGGCGGTCGCGAAGGTGGTGGTCGTTCAGATGGCGATTGGTGCTGCACAGCGCCCTACGGTGTGTAGGTTGGTGGTTTGCATATGGCAATTGTAGGTGGTGGTCGTGCAGATGGTGATTGGGGCAACACAGCGCCCTACGGTGTGTGGGTTGGTGGTTTGCAGATGGCGATTGTAGGGTTGGTCGTACAGATGGCGATTGGTGCTACTCAACGCCCTACGGTGGTCGAATGCCCAAATCAAACAAACCCTAGATGAGTTGGGCAGTGGCGATTGGTGTCGTCGGCAGCAGCGACATTTGGTGGTTGTGTTGTTTTCAGTTTGTAAATGGTTGTGTTTTATTGGTGGTTGTCGTGGTGAGGGGGGGTGGTGGTGATGACGGTGGTGATGTGTCTCTCTGTTGGTGCGATCTGGTGGCGGGGTTATTCGTGACCAAGTATTTGGTTATCTGTGATCAAGAATTTAACTGTGACCTAAAAATTTTAACATATGTGACTGAAAAATAATTTGTGACCAACAAATTTAAATATATGTAACCAAAGAAATTAACTGTTACTTGTAAATTTTTGAATTTGTTATCTTGAAATAAATTGTGACTTATAATTATGTATCTGTGACTAATAATTGTGTAAATGTGACCTAATTAATAAATATTTTTAATTAATTATCTAATACTTGAATTTTGAATTTTCAAACTATAAGGGCTTGTGTGGGAGGGATTAAAATTAGATTAAAATTGAAAATATAGCCGTTATTGTTGACTTTTATTAGACGAGTGAGGTCCAATAACGGTCATATTTTTAATTTTAATTGGCTTTTAATCCCTCCCGAACGAGGCCTAAATCTGAGTTTTGAATTGGTGTAAACTATACACTTGATTTATGATTTTTTTCCCTATTATTTGTCTATAATATCGTGGGCTTACGAGATTTCATTTAGCTTGTTTGATAGGGCATTATTTTCCGTGGAAAATGGAAAATAAATTCCAACTTTCACTTTTGCCCTGTTTGATACACTCTATTGTCTATGAATTTTTTTTTCACATTTGGCTCACATGCTCACCAATTCCTTAGTTTTAATTCCATAAAATTTATTTTTTTCTATCCATTTTTCACCTTTGCAATCAAACGAACGTTTATTAAAAAACATCGGCAGTCAGTCAAAAGTTGAATAGGAACTTGCTCCATTCCCAAAGAGAGTGGGGGATAAATTATTAATTTGTATAGTTGCGGGGCAAAGATATTTCAATTTTTTCTTTTTTATAACTTTTATTCATTTGTAGAACCCTATTTTAGCGGGATTTGCATTTCCCACTCTTTTACATTTTATCATTTCAAAATCCCGCTACCATATTCATCTCAGGATTACCTGCAAGAACCCCTTCAGAAAACACACACTCAGATTCAATTCTTCTTTACTCCTTAGATTGAATCTAAAATGCGGCAGAAAGACGATGCAAGCCACCAGTTGAGCGCAGCGAAGAGGGCGTACAAGAGCGCGGCGGAGGTGGGGAACCGACAGGAGGAGGCGCGGTGGGCGAACGTGATTGGGGACATACTGAAGAACCGTGGTGAGTACGTGGAGGCCCTTCGATGGCTGCGAGTCGATTACGATGTCTCTGTCAAGTACTTGCCGGAAAAGCAGCTGCTTCCGACGTGTCAGTCCCTCGGCGAAGTATATCTCCGCCTTCAGCACTACAGGGACGCCCTTATTTATCAGGTATGGACTTTACTATTTTGGAATATTATTGCCCGTATTGTGATTCTGTTCTTGTTGTTTGGAATTTGGAGACGATGAACAGCACCCTGTTCAATTCTATATCAGATGGGCGACGTATAATTACAAGTGGGAGTTAATGGTTGTTATTCTTGAAAAACGGCTTAATAAATCGTATTTAATTTTAGGGGCATTTCTATTTGGTTATCCATAAATTTTTATTGGGGTTTTCTCCAATTTCCTTCACTAGAAGTTAATGGTTTCGAGTACATGTCCGTGAACAGTCAAATTCAAAATTTGAAATATATCATTGGTGATTAATACGATATTCTGCCCCAAATTCGTTTATTTGAATTTCTGTTGATTTATGAATGTCTGTCATTAGCACACATTTCTTAACATCGCCCAGAAAGAACAAATTGATGAAGCATGTATTGGGTAACAACTTTTCTCATTTTCTACTTAACCAACTTTAGTTGCTTTCTTTCTGTTATCTAAATTCAGATATTTCATTTCCTCTCTATGTTTTGTGTCAACCTAATTCCTAATCTATGTGAAGTTACACTTCTGCAAAGAAGTCTCTCTATGCTCTTTTATCTGTTCAGTTTCTTCACTTCAATATTACTCTGTTGAATTTCCATTGTTTATACCTGGCAGAAAAAGCATTTAGAGCTTGCTAAGGATGCAGATGACCTCATTGAGCAACAAAGAGCCAGCACTCAGCTTGGTCGAACTTACCACGATATGTTTTTATCTGATGGTGACCACAACTCAGTTAGGAATGCAAAAAAGTATTTCAAATCTGCCATGAAACTTGCTCAAATTCTTAAGGAGAATCCGCTGTTGAACAAATGTTCTTTCATAAAGGAATACATTGACGCTCATAATAACCTGGGAATGCTTGAGATGGATGTTGATAACTACAATGAAGCAGAGAAATTTCTTACAAGAGGACTACAGATATGCGATGAAGAAGAGGTCATAGAGAATGATGACACACGTAGTAGGCTTCATCATAACCTGGGAAATCTTTACACAGAGCTCAGGAGATGGGGTAAAGCTCAGGAGCACATTTCAAAGGATATCATAATTTGTAAGCAAATTGGGCACCGACAAGGGGAGGCAAAGGGTTATATTAATCTTGGTGAGTTGAACTACAGAAATCAAAAGTATAATGAAGCCATCTTTTCTTATCAAAAGGCGCTTGATCTGGCAAAATCCTTGGAAGATGAGGACGTGTTAGCCGATCAAATTGATAAAAATATTGAAATTGTAAGAGAAGCAATGAAGGTGATGGATGAACTCAAGAAAGAGGAGCAGAATCTTAAAAAGCTAGAAAGAAACACAGAAATGGCTAGAGGCATGGCAGGTGAACGGAAGTGTCTCTTGAAACAGAATGCATCCCTTGATTGTCTTGTAGAAAAATCAAGGATGATATTTTTATGGATAAAGGTGTGCGTTGACCATTTTAATTCTATATCCTATATTCTTTCTTTTATTTACTCTTCTGCTCCTGGTTTGTTCTAGCCGAAAATTTCACTCCATTATAACTGAAGGTAAAAAAATTATCCAGGAACCTTGTGAACATCTCGACAAGAGTATATTTTCTTTTTATCTATTATTCTCTCATTATTGAGTAATTAATATATTCAAATTATAAACTCCGTATATTTTGTGGTTAGCTTCATGAATACGGCAAGAAGAAGAAGAGGATAGCAACTGAGCTCTGTGACAAAGAGAAACTAAGTGATTCATTTTTAGTCATTGGAGAGTCATACCAGAAGCTTCGAAAATTCACCAAAGCCCTTAAATGGTTCAGAAAGAGCTGGGAAACCTACAAGTCAATTGGCAGCTTGGAGGTGACCTAAATTATTATTTTACTTTGTGCTCTATATCATTGTCATCTGTAGCCGGTGGACTTTTATAAAAGATAGTGTTTCAGGGGCAAGCATTAGCAAAGATAAACATTGGAGATGTTTTGGATTCTGTTGGTGATTGGAGGGGTGCTCTAAATGCTTTTGAAGAGGGGTACAGGCAAGTAGCTTCTCTAGTTACTTTTTCTATTTCTCTTAATGGAATGCCTTTAAATTTAAGGCATATTCAATTAATTACGAGCTCAATAACTGTAAACTACTTAGTTATTTTGCAGTGAACTATATAGTCATAAGCATGCAGTATTTGGTTCTTCTCACAAATATTAATTCATTAGTTATTCAGTGCTTGGTTCATGGTCAATTAACTATTTCTGCAATAAATATTCAGTACTCCCTACTCGGTACTTCTCACATATCTAGTTATAAATTAGTTTTGTGTTTTTCCTATAGTGTTTGATACCAATCTTCAAGAAAATCTGTCCAATGTTTTTCTCTTTCTTCCCTCTCCATAAATACACAAAAAGACACAACAGACACACAAATGCCTGTATTTCTGCATGCATTCAGCACACCAGTACAGATGATGCCTAATTGAACTAGGTCTGAATGATGATCGGAAACTGTTGCATGTTTCTCTTGTTAATATCTCACAGCAAAATAGTTTGGAGCACTTCATGTTACTATGCTTCTCGGCAGATAAAAAGATTTGTAAGTATGATACTTAACTTGAGAAGATCTATTTAATCTGTGCATTTTGTCGCAGGATAGCTGTTCATGCAAAGCTTTCTTCTGTTCAGCTGTCTGCTCTAGAAAATATACACTATAGCCACATGATCCGCTTTGATAACATTGAAGAGGCCAGGCAAGTTCTGCATTTTATTTCATTCCAAAACATCTTTGCACTCTTGGTTATGGAAATAAAATGAAATCTCTGAAAATATGGTTTACAAAGAAAAGTAATTTGTCTTGGGCTCCGGCCTCCAAGCTTTCATTTTTTGTATTTGAATCCTCATAATTGCAAATGCTTACTTCATTATGTTTCTTTCTTTTAAAAAAAATCATAGAAGTTAAAATTGCACATTGAAGCTATCTTTGGCTGCTGTGTAGGAAGTCACAATTGCTAATTGACAAACTAAAGCAGTCAGAAAGTAGAGAGCTTGAGGCTGAGGGTATGGCAGTGGACTGCTGTTCTGAAACTGAAACAGAGTTGGATGATCTATCTCTGGACGAAAGATCTCACAGTAGCTTTACACCAGAGAAAAGTAAATTGAATTCTACAAAATCAAACTTTAATGACACCCCAGATGAGTTGGACGAAGATACTCCCTTGACATCCCTTTGTCAACCTAAAAGAAATTTAGCAAAGCTGAGAACTGCTCATGCAGCTATAACCAAAGCTTCTACCAAGCCACCTGAATCGTCAACCCAAAGCACATCCAGATCTTCTGGAAGCCTGACGATTGGTCGTAAACGTGTTCGTCTTATCCTCTCTGATGATGAAGATGAAGGTGATGAGGTTCATTGTTCCAGTAGAACAGTTCATAAGTGCCCCGCAGAAGGTGTTCCCACTTCAGATGAATGTGAGCAAATTAATTGGTTTTTTCTGCTACACTCTATTTATTAAAAAGGTAGACCAGTCCTTACTCTTTGTCCATGTTGCAGATGAAACCAGAAAATACTCGAGCAGTCCTGTTCACGAATTTCAGGTGATAGCACCTTTCAATGAAATCCATCATGTTGTGTTTTTTCCATTGGTAACTAACTAGTTTGATCTTTTGGTTTGGTAGGATGTTTCACTGGCCGGTGCAAGATGTTCTGTCAGTGCCTGTACTCCTGTAAATCTTGAAGAGAGCACTTGTTCCTACAAGTCCAGGATTTCTAGATTAGGTGTACAGGATGGCAAAGACTATATATCTACAGATACATATGCAGCGGTTGATGAATCCAGCTCCGGTGCAAATGCAGACAATTGCACCGATGGTCATGGCAATCTATTTGAGAATCAGAATTCTGCTGCCAAGTTGCATTCTTGTGGCGATGAACCATGTGTGAGTGTAGTTGAGAATACACTTAATTTGGCAATCATCATCTTATTAATCCTTACTACCTTTATCAATATTTAATGTATATTAGTGGATTTGATACAGCTTTATTTCATGGATGTGCTTTTGCTTTTCTAGTACTCCAAAATTCCATACACTGAACAACAGAATTTACATTGTTCACCTGTTCTTAGCTGATGAATAATCATCCTTCGAAAAAAAATTTGATACAAAAACTCACCAAAGGCATGAATGGTTTTGCATGACTGTTGAATAAGATATGCACTCTTTATGCATGCTTGGATCATGGATAATCACCTCGGTAATTACAACTACTGCTATATAATCTTGTAAACATATGTTCTTGACAAGGTTTGTTACTCGATGTTTTTGCTGCAGCAACATATTACATGCAAAATTGATGAAGATTTGGTACATATGAATCTAGATTCATGTAGAATTGGTGGTAAACTCAACATAGAAGAGATGAAGGTTGAAGTGGCATGCTTATACTGTTTAAAACTCTCCACAGAGAAGAGATCCAGAGGTATCCTACAGTACCTAATTTATGCATGATTTTAGTTATTGATAGTCTCAATGTGGGAGTTTTAGTTTTGAACTATGACCATTTTTTGAGTGGATAAGATGAAACAATGTTAGGTCCCTATAATATATGGCATATAGACTTTTTTAGAATAATTTGAGAGTGTTTGTTTGTTTGGTGTGATTATCTAATAACTTAGCAAAATCATGTCATATAAATCAGTAAAGAACTAAGAGGTTATTCTCCAACTATACTATGATCTGGAAAGGGTTTCATGTCTTCTAAATACAAGGATGCTTTGTTTCGCAGATTTACATTAGCTACTATTTGTTTTGTATTTCATATTTGGACATTTTAGCAATCTTATTTGCAAAAGTTCCAAAAACAATTATCTTGGCCAAGGCAAGAGCTCTGCCTGAAGATGGAAGTCATAAACGTGAATATGATTCCATATAATTTTTCGCAAGCTTTGCTAATGCAGGTAGGTCAAAAGCTTAGAAAACATTGTTCGACAACCCATGCATAGTGGTTTTATGTTAATACAACGACAATTTCATACTTTCTTATCCCTTTAACATTAACTATGACAAGATTAAATTGGTTGTAAGAAGTTGATACAATGGGAATGCAAAGAAGATGCTCGCCCTACAACTGCGTATTGAGATCTTATCCAGCAGTTGGGAGACCCTTAGGCTTGCCAATTTTCCTTGAGTCCTTAATTTTTTCTTGGCTATTATGTTTAGTGTTTACATATATTGATACGTACTTAGGTTCTCAATTTCCGTGCTTTCTAATAAATTGTTGTGTTGATGATGTATATTAACTTAATTCCACCCTACAGCTGAGAATGCAGATTAAGCTTTATCAATTTAGGAAATGATCATGATCTAGCAAATCTGGTTCAATATTTTTTGAAAAGGAAAAATTCTAGGATAAATAGCAAAAGGAGGAAAGGAATGTGATATTCATGCGCTGGATTTTCTGTACTTATTTCATCCATCCTTTTCGCAAGAGCAAAAACATGTCTGTATGCTAGTTTATTCTTTGACAGTGTTCTGTTGTCTCCAAACCTAATGTAGTTTTGAAGTATATATTAGTGGATGCTAAAACACGTGTCATCGTGTTAGCAGGATTGGTGCCAGTCATTCAGCATATAAAGTACGGTGGAAGAATCCTTGAATCTTTGGAAACAGTTGGCGCTTTAGAGAATCATTCTGGAAAAGGCTGGATTGAGGTTTCTGTTGCTGGTATGTTTTCACAAGTGTAAAAAGCCTTTTACTATAATTACGTTGATCCTTTTGATTTCATCTGTCTGTTCCTGGAATGCTTGACCCTCTTACTAGTTTAATAGCATGTTTGGGTTTCCTTAACTTATAATTTAAGTTGGTCAAATTTTAATTTTAACTACACAACTACTACCCACTTATCCACCACTAATTTTTATCAATTTATAATTTAAGCAACTTATAAACAATCCCAAACAAGCACAAAGATTTTTGTAATGGAAGTATTCTACATTTCTGTCTTGGACCGGCTACAATATGTCGTTCTTGGTTTCCTTTCAACAATATTTTTGAGAAAAAACAGGATGATAATACAAAGTTGCTGAAGAAATGATGATAAGTTCGACTACGACAAGACACAAAATATCTTTTTACTTGCACGTTCTATTCATGTGAGTAAATGAAGCACTTTACAGTTCACATAAACCTCTTAACCGACTTTATGAATAATATAGAGCAAATAAACCAGTGCAATGAAGCTAATGTTGCAAAATATCAATTGGAGTTTCAAAAAATGGCCCATTCAACTCAACTAAATATGATTTCATCCTAAATACTGGCATAAACCTAAAGATAGAGTTTAGCATTATTACGGATTTCATGAAGGGAGTTGTTATTAGAACTCCATATTATACTACAGGAACTCAAGTTTATAAATTAGAGTCGAGTGTCTGCAGTAAAAAATGGGAATAAAAGGTGGAAAGGTGTTTCACTTGTGGAATAGTCATTTTGTGCTTATTCTATACAATACAATAATGTACATTTCTAATCTGTAAGATAATATTGTGCTATTCCATAGTTAAATATGAGAGATTTAATTCTTGAGCAGTGATGGTGCCCAAGAATGTGATGAAACTATACATTGACTGCTGCGAAGTACTATCTGAGCCACCTAATTTGAAAGTGCTCAAAAAATTGTACAACTTAGAGGTAAGATTTAGATGAAGTTGTCGTTCCACTGATGTTCTTGGTTTTTATTAACTTTCAGTCATAGTGAGAATTCTATTTTAAGAATACACTTTTTTCCAGGTATCAGAGGATGAAGTTATTGTGTCTGATTGTGGATTGCAAGATATATCAGTAGCTCCAATACTAAATGCCCTACAAGCACACAAAACAGTTGCTGTCTTGGACCTTTCTCACAATTTATTAGGTATAATGATTTGTTCTTGGCTCTATTCATTTAGACATTGATAGTTGACAGAAAATACATATGGGATTTTGTGTTTGCCTGTTTCTCAAGTGTCATGCACTCTACTCTTTTCACTTCCTAACTTTATAAAGTCTTCATCACATGAGTTCTATGTAGCTTAGTATTTTTACTAATTTTATTGATTGTGTTACAGGAAATGGATCAGCAGAGCAACTTAAACAAGTGTTTACATCATCAGGACAGAGTTACGGTGGTTTGGTTCTGGATTTGCACAATAATCGACTTGGTCCAACGGCTTTATTCCATGTTTGTTTAATATTCTCTTTCATTTTCTTCTTTTACTCGGTTAGTTCAATAGCTTTGGAGTATCTCAAGTTTTCACATTTATATATCCATGCCATCTCAATCAACTAGACATGATGTGGATGCATGGACCTCGCAAATTGATATATACTATTCCCTTCATCAGTTCATCCACACTGCGATATTTTCAGTTGAAAGAACCGTTGAACTAATAAGGACTTGAGTATAAAAACCAAACAAGACTCTTTATAGGGGATGCTGTCTCAAGACATAATATTCTAGTCAGGGCTATCCAATTATTAGAAGTAAAATGAAAGTCCACACTTATTATGCTCAATATGTAACAAATAGGGCACAACATTTACGTAGTGCAAAAGTATAGGCGTGCCTTACAATATTGTGAATGTTGAACTATAGTTTGGTAATCCTTGTTCTACATCTTGAATCATGATATTTTAAGAATTGGACAGTAATATCAAATAATATGCAAGATAGACAGTCCATGCATATGGAAATGTTCGAATTGTTCTACGAGTACTTTATGGAACATTATAATATTATTCCGTGATTGATTATGTATGTCTTGCCTGTGAAAAGAAGCTGTTTTTGTAACTTCGAGTTTTATTCATGCTCATCTTTTTTGTGATGCATGAATTAGTTTTTCATATTTTTTTGTCCTTTCAAATTTTTGTTGTTTATTGTTGTGGCACTTAGGTGAATAAAAGGCTTGTTCATAAGCACTTGAATGTTTGAATGGACCAGAATTTATGAATAATGCTATTTATGCCAACTGGGGTTGATCCCTATATGATGTTGCTGGTGTTGTGCCATGAAATGATAACGCCAATTAAATGTACGTGTGGGCATTTTTTCTTGGAACCGTTGGAATCAGACCAGAATTGGATAGTTGATCGGTCTGGCTCCGATTTCTCTACCAAATGAATCGTTTTGGGACCACGCATTGAGAACCAATTGGTTTTGGTCTGGATCTTGGTGTTGGCTTGAGAATCAATAGTGAATTTGATTCTTTTGAATTTCTCTTTTTGCAGGTGCTTGCACTAAGATGCACCAGATATTTAAACACCTTTCTTTTCTTTACAACAAAGCCTAATGGTAATCAAAATCCAAATCTAAATAATTTTATTAATACTTTACAAATTCATAGATTTAATGCAACTCCAATAGGAAAAAATATATTTTTAGTTCAATCTTTCGTAAGAACTTAAATTTCTCGTTTACAAAGTGGCTGACCATTAAGATTCATGAGCTTCTCCTTGAGGATTATTGAAGATAATGAGGTTATAAAAATAAGAGACATCATTTAATATCTGTTTGTTCTTTATTTTTTGTGACATTTCCTTCGGCTCTTAAAAATAGGAGACATCAGTTGCTCTACAAATCAACCAAGAATTTTTCTTACCTCCTGCAAATTTAGAATTCCCATCATTGTCTACTTAGTGGGGCCCATTTCTTCTTAAAAAAAGGTCAATCGAACTGCTCGACCATAGATTGAACCAGGTATGGACTCGATCCCATCTTCTATTTACTGCTTAGGTGCCAAAGCATACTCAGTAGACGATAGCCCAGTGTATTGTCTGATCGTGAAAGTAATCAAGAACTCGGGAAGAGCCTTTTGATTATGTGAAAACTACTATGCCTTCGCTCATCACCCTTGTAAACTAGCCTGCTCTCATTCAATTTGACGTAATTAGCTCCTATTGTCACAGCTGGCTTTATTGACTCCACTAGTAGTGACGTGCTGATTTCCTATCCTATTGCTCGGATTCCTTCGTAAGGGTTTCTGCACTTGTTGAGTCAACAGGGAAATACATAGGTTTTTTCACAAGAAACAGATATTTGCTAAGATAGGTTCTGCTCATGTCAAAACCCTCTCGATTGACCCTATCTTTCGTAGCATGCATTTTTATTCGTGTGCAATTGATTCTGTAAGCTACCTGGCCATTGCATGGAGAATTACCTTCGATCCCCAAAACTAACTTACCCGAGGTAAGCTTCCTGCCACCCAACGACCTAATCGCTACCATCTGCGGCATTTGTCTTGCAAACAAGCCCTTCTCTTTCTTGACTAGCAGCAGCTCACTAAAGTAGGTTAAGCTTACACTAGCACACTGGTTCAGTTAAAGTGTAGAGTACAAGGAAGTAGGCAAGTTCACCAAATAATCAAGTCAGCCAGGTTGCCTCCCCTTTTTCCTTTATGATTTAGTTGTTGGGGAAGCAATCACTACACTAGAGATTTGGGGATCGTCCCCAGTGGGGATAAATAACATTATTCATGATTTATACAATATGTATTATTCTCTACTTGACATAATATTTCAGGATGTCATCTTTATGGAAACTTCAATACATTGTTTTGCGATGTTTGAATTTTGCAAATAAATCGTAAAAAGGGGAAATTTGTCTGAATAATCAAAAAATGTTCTTTTCTCCTAATTGACAGATTTGTGAATGCCCAGTACTACATGCTCGATTGGAAGTTCTTAACATATCTGGAAACCGTTTGACTGATGCATGTGCATCTTCGCTTTCAACTATCCTGCAAACATGCAAAGGTGAAATGTTCCCCTCATTTCTCAATTCGGTTGTCCCTGTACCAATATACGGTCACTCGGTACCACAGTACTAATGCACCAATGAAGTTGGAATGCCACTGAGTATAACTGTACTGGAACTTTATATGAGAGGATTCAAAAGCTTTGTCTAATATGGTTTAGTCATAATCATACCGTTTCTTCATAGAAAATCTCTTATGTTTTGCAGCACTTTATAGTTTGAACATAGAGAACTGTTCGATCACATCAAGAACAATTCAAAAGGTTGCTGATTCACTGGATTCTGAATCTGTTCTTACAAATCTCTGTTTAGGTACCTCCATTTTAACTAGTCAAAAAATTCCCTCTTAATAGTCTTCCTGTCTGTGACAGAAAAGATTTTCATGCTATTTTTTCCATTTATTTAAACAGGATACAACTACCCAGTATCTGGAAATGCTATGATTAATCTCTTCCTCAAACTTGCCACTTTAAAGAGGTTTGTTCATTAATATTATTTTTCCTTTTCCATCACATTTCAATGTGTTTAGGATGATATGTATAATGTGGTCTTGAGGGCTTTTTTTTATTTTGCTTGTAATAGATTTCAAGAGCTCAATTTAAATGGTATAAAGCTAAGCAAGCCTGTGGTAGATAGCCTTTGCCAACTTGCTAAGGACTGTTGCTTATCAGGATTGATGCTTGGAAATTCTAATATTGGAAATGTGAGTGGTCCACCTACTTCGCTGTATCATAGATTACGTTGAAGGCACTACTTTTGGCATTTGACAGAATTTATTTTAACTATCGATCAGGGTGGTTTCTTCCATTTGTTTCTATATTAATCACCATTTACCTAAAACTATCAGTGACTTTGTTGTACATGATATGAGAGACATTTAAATATGTAGCCCATGTTTGACACACATTTTTTCAAAACTCATTTTCAAACACATTCTTCAATAAAATAATATTTTCCATCACATCAATAAATTTTCCTTACTTTTTAACCACATATTTTACATCATATTACTATTTAAAATACATTCTTTCCTTAATAATATCCATCAAACACACCCGTAGTCTTCAGGCTCTCAGTGGCCAAATCACACATCCTGGTGTGAACCATATTAATGTCCTTGTGTTTGATCAATTTTGACTAATTTAAAGTTAACCATGGTATTGTAGCAGGATGATTTTGAACTTGGTCAACTTACATTCGCATGTACTCCATACTTAGATGAAGCTTTTCTTCTCGCTGTATATCTATTCGGTTCTCGATGAATTACAAACTTTATGGCATTCTTGGGCAGCCAAGTGAACCACATAAATCCTTGTCTTCCTATTTTTTTTCTCCTTCATTTACTTCTGTACTTTTGATGCTGACACCTTAATTTGATGACTGAGGATGCCTTTTCAGGATGGCGCAGTACAGCTATTTAAGTCATTGTACAAGGAGACCCAAGAACTAGTCAAGCTCGATCTATCGTTGTGTAGATTGACATGTGACTACATTGTCAGACTCAGCAATGAAGTTTCTTTGATTAATGGCGTTCTAGAATTAAATCTTGGTGGGAATCCCATCATGCACAAGGTTTGTTTTCTCTCATCATATGAATGCCTAAGCATTGAGTATTTGATCGTTTATACTTGAAATGCTTCTCTTCCTGATTCCTGGCTACTTTGAGGCAAAAATTGAGATTTAGTTGCCAAGTGAGAAAGTCGATGTCTATTAACAATTGACATATCTGTAAGATGTCATGAAAGAGTTTCATAAACATGCTTTTTAGTTTCTGCTACTGATGATATGATTTTCTTTCTCACTGTAAATGTAATGATGGTTTGCAGAAATGTCATTCATATTTGTGCTACACCATTGCATCTAGTTTTGTACAGTGCATGTTCCGTTTATACAATGTAGAATACACTTCGCTAATTATTCTTATGAAGCTAAATTAATGCATAATTACAGGGTGGCAATGCATTGGCCTCTTTGCTCTCTAATCCTCAATGTTGTTTGAAAGTTTTGGTCGTCTGCAAATGCCAACTCGGTCTTGTTGGTGTCAGTCAAATGCTCAAGGCACTATCTGAGAATTGCTCTTTAGAAGAGCTCAACCTGGCTGAAAATGTTTCTCCAGAGGAAATTCATTCTTTACCACATGCCTTTAGTTCTGTGAATAAGAACTTGAACTCTCTACAGAAAGATTTCAACCAGTCTGAATCTTTGTTCGAGGTGCTTCAACAAGACAAGATGCAAACTGTTGAACAAGAGTCATCTGTTGTAAATACGAACGAGAACCAGCTTGAAGTTGCTGACAGTGAAGATGATCTAGTTGGGGTAGAAGCTACATTGTGTGGTTTGGAAGACAGTCGTATAAACTCATCCCCCAAAACTTTACTTTCAGAATGCCAAATCGTGCAAGAACTTGTTGCTGCTATTAAAATGGCTGGACAATTGCAACTATTGGATCTTAGTCAGAATGGGTTCTCTCAGGAAGTTGCAGAAATGTTATACATTGCCTGGTCATCAGGTGCAAGAGATGGTGTGGCTCAACGACACATTGAAGAAAATGCAATTCATTTGTCAGTTAATGGGAAAAAATGCTGCAGTATTAAGTCCTGCTGTAGAAGGATTTGAGTAAATCAAAATTTTCAGTTTCTCCTGAGGCATTTTTGAGCAGCTCTAGCAAAATATGTTGTAGAAAACTAAAGGGTCACCTATTCATTCTATTGCTTTCACATGAACTTTGAATGCAATTCTGGAAACTGGAGGAAAAGTTGAAACAGATGGGAGACTAATGAAATTTACACTTTTTTTTTGTTAGGCAGTTACTTTGTAAATCCTAGCAAGTGTAACTTTCACTTGATGGAAAGCTTTGACACTTGATTATATGACATCCAGTAGTGCACAAGAACCATATTCTTGTAACTTTGCACTAGCTCTTTTCAGAAACTGGTTGCCATTTACATGGATCTAAACAAAAAATATCAGCAGCACTATATTACAGCAATTGTACTCTAATAATATACTGGATACTGTAGATTCCCCTGGATTGTGTTTTTTTTTTACATGTTTCTGTCAGTATCCTTTAGGGGTCAAGTGACATAATGAACTATCAAAATTGATAACCTTGGATGAAATGGAATGGACAAAATTGATTTTTGTTGTCAACATAAATTTATTAGAAAAATGATGAAAGTATAGGGAAATTTATACAGAAATTTGAATTCTCAGTCACATGGTGCGGGCCCCATGTATTAAATATTGGAAAAAAAATGTTGCTCCCGCCTTTGGCTGTCTGTTATGTACCTGTACCCATAGCATGGTTGAATTTATTAAGAAATGTTCAGACTTCGGTTATGCATAGATGAATTATTGCAAACGGTGTACAATTGGAGGCGATGGGGTTGGGGGTAAGGGTGGGAAAGAAGAAGTATTTTTAATTTCTTTACTCATTTATCTTTTATCTGATTATTTTAAATATTTTATGTAAAAAAGATATGAAGTTGTCATTTTGTCATCTTTAAAATTGATCAAAATGTGGTCAGACTCAATTTTTTGTGGTCGATTAATGATGAAACCATCCAAATGCCCTTCTGCTGCACGGGATTAATGTTTGGGACCAACATTGCTACAAACGAAGAGTCAAAGTAAAAGCGCAACAAGTTGAAAAGTTGAGGATCGCGATTGCAACTATCTCCAAATATTTCTCATCATTTTATGGCAGATTAACAATACGTAGCTAATTGATGTAATTAGAATATATGGCGTGTTCGGTAGAGATTAAAATCAGATTATTGAAAAACTAATCATTATTGTTGACTTTTATTAGACGGGTGAGACCCAATAACGACTATATTTTCAATTTAATTGGATTAAAATCCCTATCAAACAAGCTCTAAAGGGTTTACAGTACGTTTTGAATCCCCAAAACAATTGCATTATAATTAGAATATATGGCGTGTTCGGTAGAGATTAAAATCAGATTATTGAAAAACTAATCATTATTGTTGACTTTTATTAGACGAGTGAGACCCAATAACGACTATATTTTCAATTTTAATTGGATTTTAAGCCCTACCAAACATGCTCATAAAATTCGAACAGATTTTTATAATGAAGGAAGCTTGATTTCAAATCTGAAATAGTTTTTAGTTCTCATTGAATTTTGCAATGGATATATCTGAAATTTGCTTGAATGAGGAACTTATGGAAATACCCTTAAAATCAAGGCATTTTGAAAAAATATATATGAAAGTAGGGCTGGGCGTGGATTGGGTTGGATTAGTCTTGAGTCCAACCCAACCCAACCCAACATGTTTAGTTTGACAATAATTCAAATCGAAATCAACCCATTTACGGTTGAAGCCCAATCCAATCCAAATCGACTAAAGGTTCGGTTTGGATTGGGTTAATTGGTTTGGACTTGAGTCCCATTCAAGTTCGACCTAATTATTCTTTTGTTGGACAATTTTTTTATGGGTGCAATGGTTGAGTGTTTTTTTGTTGAATTTGAATAATTTTTTTAAAGTTTGATACCATTTCAATTTGGACCAATTTCAATTACATTAAAAAGGGAGATTTGAAAGGCTTTAAGTCGATTGAAGTTTGATAAATGGTCCGAGGTTAAATTTCATTCCGATAAAATAATATAAACTAATAATATTGTAGAACCTGTTAAATAGATTATACCATGATCAAATTAAATACATATTAAATCAATCTAAATACATGTTGAATACATGTATATTATTATACCTATTGAATAAAATAAATTCAACCTAAATACTAAAAATGTAAATATTCTCATTCAATCCAAGCGTTTAGTAAAAAGTTACGTCAAAAATCGAGTCGAGAAGTCGAGGCACGAGCAGCAATGAGAGGCAGAAAAGACGTGAGGTAGGGGAGAATTTTGATAATGTGGTTTTTTTTTTAAGTACTATTTTTCTTTTTAATGTTTTTTAGTTTATTGGGTTGTGTTGAATTTTAATAGATAACTCAGAACCCAACCCGACCTAAAATTTGATTTTCTAATCCGAATCCAACCTAATTGAGCTAAAAATCAACCCAAACTAGTTGGTTTGGGTTGGGTTGATCGATTTGACTGATTCGAATTGATGTTTGCCCAATCCTAGTTATTAACACAAACTAATTGGAGAAATGTGCTCCATACTCTCTCTCAATTTGGACAGTGGAAACCATCATGCGAAATTTAGGCAGAACTAGGATAAAACATAACATATAATCTTTATGTACTTATTAATATTAATTATTAATTTATTAATCCAAATAAATAATGGGTGTCAATATCTAAAGTTGGGTATTATCAAAAGAATACTATCGATCATTATCAACACATGTCAATTTATGATTATTAATGGCTATATCATTGGTGATAGTATCCTATAATTACTGATATTGCTACATAGGAATTCATGAGCTCGAGGTGTAACTCAAGTAAATTGCTCGATGGATGGATCTTTGTACAATCAACCCATTTAGGTTTGATTTATTGGTGATATTTTTTAACTTCAACCCACACAGGACCAGTGTTGTAAACTTTTCATAGCCTTGCCAAATGAATGTATGGGTTGATAACAAATAAGCATATCACTAATTCATACTCACGCCTCCTTAGAATGGATGGTGGGTCTTTCTCCTAATCAATGGCTAAGATTAGCCTCTAGAACTCTTTACAAA